CGCCGCTCAGCAGCCTCCGGGCAGCGCCGCAGCGCCCCCAAGCGGCAGAGGCGATGCTGGCGGCGCAGAGCGCACGTCCAGGGGTGGCGCTTGCTCCCGGAGTCCACAGGAAGGCCGACACGCCCCCGGCCGCCGACCTGGCGGGGCGCGGGACCTGCGGGGCAGCGCCACCTGCTGGACGCATCACGAGCCGCGTCTCCGGAGAATGCATCTGGGCGCCGGCCTGGAAGACTTCTCCAGGTGGGGTTTGGACAGAGGCTCCAGCGATGCTGGTGGCATCCGTCTCCTGCGGACTCCTTGACCTCTCGTGTTCGGTGACAAGGCTGGGAAGGTGGTGGCTTAACCATGAACTCCTCCTGAAGAAGCATGGGAGAGGCGCATCCCGTGGCCGGGCCACCCAGCAATTAGGATTATTCCACTCGAGCCTTTGGGTGGCTTGGGCAATGTCATGCTCTGGTGACTTCTATTCCTGTTTGCCTACTCTCCTCTCCTCCCCTCCCCTCCCCTTTACTCCTCTCCTCCCACCGAAAAATTCATTCATTTTTACTCGGATCCCATAAAGCACAAACGAATGAAAACCTGAAGGGAATTGGCCATGTTCTCCAGGTCCCAAAGGTTTACTCGATCAAGAATCGCTTTCTTTTTCTCACTCTCATCATAATTAAACAGCAAAGGCTACTGATATGTAAGTAAAGGAAGTGCATAGGTCATTATTTGGGGCACAATTGGAATGTAAAAAGCTGCAGAAACACGTTCTGTTTAAAAAGATTCGTGCAGAACCCTCTTACACTGCTACTTACCTAATAAGTATCTCTTTCCTTATTTCTTTCCCTTGTTTAAGATCCAGTTCTTTAATTCATCCCTTCATTCATTCAACACATACCTTTAGCCTATTGTTTTTGTTTACTTTTTAATAAACTATAACCTCCATATAGTAAAAATGCACAAACTACAGATGATTCAAATTTTACTTATTTATGGCATTGAGGTGGTAATTAATTTTTAATGGGCAGTGGGCAATGTCTAGAAAATCCTTGGGTCTGTGGCTTTTAAATACATAATTATCAGCAAGTAGAACAGTGTTTTCCAACATTGGCAATACCATCCCCTGGCATTGCTGCTAAAGCACATACCTACATTTTATCCAGAATATGGGCTACGGTACAAGAGTTTTCATTGCTGGGCAGGCATTCAGTAATGTTTTCTTTTTCTGAAATGAGCCAAATAGGTTTGGGTACCTTTAATGTAGAGTGTTTCTCAAACCTCCGCTACCTCACTTGAAAAGTTAACCAATTTTGTGACATCTCTCACAGGAGATAAATTGTGCCCATTAATTAACTTAATTAATTAATTAACTTAATTAAGATGGAATCACACTATGTGTTCCATTTGTCTGGTCTCCGTGCTTTATTTTTTTAATTTCTGAATTATTCATATGTTTTCATGTAACTGTTATTCATTTAAAATTTATGATATAGTATCCTATTAAGTGCCTATGCCACAATTTATCCATTCTACAGTGCCTGGATCAGTTGTGATATATCCATCTAATGGATTGCTGCAGCATATATGTTTTAAATGTATCCATTTTACCGTGCATGGAAGAGCCCTGGTAGTATATCGGGTTACATGTGGGGCTATGAACCACAAGGTCCACAGTTCAAAACCACCAGCTGCTTTGCCAGAGAAAGATAAGACTTTCTGCTCCTGTAAAGAGTTACTGCCTTAGAAATCCACAGGAGCAGTTCTAGTATGTTCTGTAGGATAAATGTGAGTTCGGTTCAACTGGATGGCGGTGGGAATGAATGAATGAAATGAGATTGTACATGGTTATGTAAGTTGTTATCAGCTTGGGGCTGTGACTCATGAAGCTGCCATGAGCCTTCTGAGAAATAGAATTCCTCTCAGTAGGATAAACACCAAGCATTCAGCCTATAAGTAATGGAGTATGCATAGGTCCAGCTCTAAGAAATACTGTCAGATGATATTCTAGAATGATTGCATTGCTTTATACAGTACTCCTGCCAGCAATGTTTCAAAGTTCCCATTTCCCCATGTGTTAGTCGACACTGGATAGTATCACTCTCTCTCAATTGGGCCATTCGTCATGGGTTCAGTTTGTATTTCTTCAGGCAGGAAGCATTCATCAGATACTAGTGATATACCAGACCCCAGCCGGGCAGAATCAGTAGAGGTATGTAAAAGGCACTATGGGATTTGGGAGAAGAGTCAGTAACTTAGCCTGATAGATTAGGAGGGGACAGGGCAAGTGGTCAGTAAAGGTTTATTACAAATGGAGAACTTGGGGAAGACCTTAGAGGGCAAAAGAAACAACACGGGAAAAAAAAACTAATATGCATTCCTGCTCAAATATTTACATTCAGCGATTGAGCCATCCAGGTCCGACTCCCCCAAGTGGTTTTCTGTAGTCTGCTCTCCTTTGTATACTATTCAATTTAGAGTATATTTCTGTTACACATTTCACACTGCATTGAAATTATTTGTTTTTATATCTGTATTTCCCAAGTAGCCTGAGGGAAAATTAAAGGCATTTCTTATTTATCTTTGTATTTTCAGGACCCAGATATCCACTAATCAATGCAATTGATCAAATGAATAGATGTACTAACTTGATTCTGAGAGCCAGAAAACCAGGTCCACGCTGTCAAGTCAAGGCCAACTCATAGCAACCCTACGGGGCAGAGTAAAACTGCCCATTACGGGAGCAGAAAACCTCATCGTTTATCCTGAGGAGTAGCTGCTGGTTTCGAACTGCTGACCTTGCTGTTAGCAGCCCAACAAGTAACCCATTACCCGGCCAGGGCTCCTTTACTAAGGGGACACTGACATGTTTCAGGCATCAACCTTTTAGATTGTGCACATCATAGGAGCACAAGTTGCCTGAACCTTGTTCACGTTGGTAGCCCCAGTGTTAGATGAATCACATAGAGAACTAGAATTGTGCACACAGAGATCATACACGGTACCGGCGACTATCTAGTAAGGGAAATAGACACCTAAGCAAAATGCCCATTAAAATGTGGGACCTGTTCTACCCAAGGTGATTCTATTATAACCAGTCTTTTTGTTTTTCAAAATCAGATCCATTCAGACTTATTTCAAAAGATGGAGTATATCGATTTATCCAGAGGATTAGGCAGCTGGCAGAATCTCTGGAAGAAGAGAGCGCTAGACTCCGCAGCCCCAAACTAGATCAACCAGCCCACAGAGCTTGTGTGGCCACAACTCCACTTCCAGCACCTTTCAGCACCAGGAGCTCCACAGCAGTGGCTCTGCCACTGTCACCCCCAAAGACCAAAGGCCCATGCCAATTGCTTGTCCTGGAGATCCGCCCCAAGCTCTGACACACATCCTGTTCACTTCTGGGAAAATGTCTCATGCAGATATGTCTAATAGGAGGGCTGTAGGGCGCAGAAATACTTCCTAGCTACAGGGAAGCTTTCCGGGTTCTACTTCAGAGAGATGGAATTCGTGGGACCAGATGTGCCAATGTAGCAAGGGTGTTCAAAAAGCACTAACAGCTCACTGGGTGAAAGACAGGCACTGCCTACAGAAAGGGCGAAAGGCTACAAGAACACTGAATTTAAGTTGACATCATGGTCCAAAACAACAAGAGCAGCCCAGAACCGCCCCTTTGGGTTTCTGAGACTTTAATGAAACCTTAAAGTGACAAACTCTGCCTGGATGGCTCAGGGAAGTTGTCAGCAGGGAGGTGACAGGTTCATGAGCTTGTAGTTTAGGAATAGGAATTTACCAGATGGAGAAAAGAGGGCAGGCAAGCCCAGAAGAGTAAGCCGCCTGGGTGGAAGGCCCGGATTGAGAAAGGCCGGTGTTGTTATTGTTGTTGGAAGACAGTCAGGAAGGAGCTCTGTGTGGAGGTGAGGACTGGGTGGGGCAGCATAGCAGGACATGACATTGGTAGAATCCAGGGGAGCCAGATTTCTCACCCCTTGGTAAACCGTGCTTTTAAGGAATTTAGATGCAGCCCATAGGCATCAGGGACTCCTCATAGATTTTTAAGTACACAAGTGACGTGAGGAAATTTGGGTTTATGAAGAATACCCTAGATAGAGAAAAGTAGAGAGAAATGAGTAAGGGGAGGCTATTTGAGGGAAACCAGTGACGAGGTTGCTGCCTGAGGTCAGGTGAGGGGTGACGGGAACTTACCCCAAGGGAGCAGAGTGGGGCTGAGAGGAAGGGGGGAGGTGGGATCTCAGGGGCTTGAAATCACTGAAAAGGAGACAATCACAGCTGACTCTGAGAGTAGTAGGTCAACCACTAACTAAAACCAATAATATGGCAGAAAGAATAGGCTTCGAGGAAGGAAAATAAATTGGGTTTGAACATAGTGAGGCTGAATTGCTTAGCGCCTGCTAGGTGAAACTGTGAACGAGTCACTGAGAAGTACGTTTCTGCAGCTCAGAGACATCGTCAGTGAAGAGGTGGGACTTGATGTCATGAACGCTGGTTCCCTACTCCACGCTGGCATGTTGCAGTCACACCTTGGCCCTTTTCACTGTTCTCCCTCGATCTCTTAATCTGAGGTCTAGTTCAAATCTCCTTTCTTCCTTCAAAAGGCTGACTCCTTCCAACCTACACAGACGTTTAAAATCTTTTCCGAATTTGCCATCTGAAGTAGAGTTGACATCAGGGTCCATAACAACAGAAGAAGGCCAACCCATTTCCAGTGAGTCTATTCCCAGTCATAGGATAGAGGAGAACTGCCCCTTTGGGTTTCTGAGACTTTAATGCAACCTT